AATCCCCGCCACAAACCTCATACATAAATGTACAAAAATATTAATTCTTATTAAATTTGCATGGTTGTGCTTAAAATATTAGAGCTTTCAAGCCAGTTTTTTGGTCATTGAAAAATTATGATTGGCAAACTTGCTTTTTGTTCCATCAAAATATCTTTTATTTATCAAATTTATATAATCAAAAATAACTTTTTTAGAGATATTTCTTATCTATTTTACTAGTATGAATAATCATAAGGCCAAATTTTAAAGAACATTATTTTAATGCATTATTTCTAACGGCTAATCTACAAAAAATAACTTTCACAACAAACTAGTGTGTCCTAAACCTAATATATCTCACGTTTAATTTTTAAAGCAATCAAGTCCAAAAATGATTAATACGCTCACTATTAAAAATAATGAAAGTTCATCTCATAATTTCTGATTTTTTAATAATATTATAAATTATAGGTTGTCTAAAAATAATTTTTTAATTAACATAACTATAACAAATAACAAACACGCAAAAAATTATTTGGTTGACACAGCTCCTTTTGCTTACACGTCCACATACTTATTCGTGCTTGAACAAAGATGTAACAATTACAAATTTCATACTTTCCAGCTTAATATCAACAAAAAAATCATGAAAATTATTACATAAATGGCAACAAATACATCATAAAAATTTACAAAATAATTTACAACATCAACTTACAAATATAATTCAATGACCCTATGGTAAATAATCTTACAAAAAAAAAAAATCATAACTAACATAAAAGCAAATAAAAAACTGAAAAATTAAAGAAAGAACAACATACCTTAAGATTTTGGTTCTCGGTTGTTTGAGGCAAGCTCAGCTTGAAGAGGAGTGGAAGGAAACGAACTGCGTCTCCCCTTTTTATAGCCAAATTTGCTTCCCACTTCCCAATTTAATTTTTCCATCTGCCAACTACAACTCAGCGTCCGCCATGAATTTCTGCACCAAACTCGCGTGATTTTCGGATCTTGCCCCCGCTTCAGACGAAATTCCACTGCGATCGCGCTGGCGCCAGCTGGCTGAAAATGCGAAGAATGCGCCGCATGTTTGCGCGCATTCTATGAAATACGCGTAACCTGTATATAGGCGCATTCAAAGAATGCACCTATAACTTCGGCACATTCTTTGAATGCACCAATCCAATCGGTGCATTGAAAGCATACGCCGAACAGTTTGGCGTATTGGCTCCTTTTCAAAATTTTTTTAAAAGGCGCTGCTTCCGCTGAAAGTGGCTAAAAAATTGAAGTATGCTGATTATGTAGGCATCATTTGGGATAGCTCTTTATTGCTTTTGTGTTAAAAAAACAACCAAATAGAAATAATGCATGTTTAAGTTTTCGTTTGGGATGACTTTCTTATTTCTTTTTAAAATTACTTTTTTGTACATTTTTTTTTTTAAAATAGAAATTTTTATACTAAAAAGTTACATTAAAAAATAATTAAAAAGTTGTCCCCAACAAAACCTAAATAACATCTTGTACTTAGCTTTTTTTTAATTTTGTTTTTGAAAAGCTGTTTTTTAAAAAACATATTTAAAACTATGGTTGGAAAAGAATCTTGTAAAGCACAAGTAGAAAAACATAAGCTGTTTAAATAAAGCCTTATGCTTCATTTGGGACGGCTTATTTACTGCTTCTTAAAGCCACTTTATTGTACTAGAAAGTCATTTTAAGAAGCAATAAATAAGCCGTCTCAAACGAAGCCTTAGTGTCTATTTGAGATGACTGCAATATTTTATATAGGTTGTTGTGAAATTGTTATGGGGAAAACAACTTGATTACTTTGGTTGCAAAGAATAAATTTCTATCACATAAATCTCTAAAAAATAGTGAGAAAGAAATTAAAAAAAAAAACAGTGGTTAAACGAAGTTGTGGTTGCTTTCTAAAATGTAAAACAACAAAGCCCTACATGAGATCCTGTTTGGGTACCCATTGTGTACCCATGTTTTACTCGGACGGGCTTCGCCCACCCACACCCACCCATGGTGACTTCCGGGATTTCGTACCCACCTATACCCACCCACTTTCCATGTTTTTTGAACGCAGTCTGCCACGGACTGATGGTCTTGAGACTTGTAGTCATTTGCTATGATGGCAAACTTTCAAGTCGAATATCAAAATTTATCGTACTCGTATCGTGGTTAAGTGTTGCACAATACATAGAGATGATTGCAGTAGTATAAGTAAGATATATGGTGATTAGCAATGTAAATCGATTTATCCCTCGATATTTAGTACCCACCCATAATGCCATGGGCGTACCCATACCCACCCATACCCAATGGGTATGGGTGGGTACATGGATGGGTGTGGGTATGGGTACCTAATGCAGGGCTCTGATAGCCACATCACACTTAGAAATTCACTATAAAAGTAGGAGAAATTATGCGACTATATGAAAAAAAATTAAGGGCAGTCACACTCATGACTTGACTAACGGAATTTAGATATGAGTTAATAATACAATCCAATAGATCGACACAATTAGATTCCACACAGAACTAATGTTAAATACGCCCACTAATGACTTGATCAGTCATTTTTACTCACCCGTTGAGTGCTTTTTAGCCCAATAATTAGAATTTTATAGAGTAATATTAGTGCTAGATAAACTTATCTATTGCACTTTTGGAGTAACAAAGGGAAAATGCTGACCCTAACACAATTCTGAATTGATGACCACATATGACTCATATGTGGCTCATTCATGATTCCATGTGCGTTATCTAAGGTGGCTTGCTCCTATGCTTCACAAATTACTTGTATATAAATAATCTGCTTAGAGAAGACAATACCTATCAAATTAAAGTTTCATTTGGAACGAATTTTTTATTATTTCTATAGTAATTTTTTAAATACAAAAAATTAATTTTATGTAAAAAATTATTTTAAAAAGTAATAAATAAAAAAAAAAGTTGACCAATGCCTACTTGGGATGAGCTCCAAATGAATCAATTATGACTCAAGTACAGAGTACTCCTTTAATTAGATATAAGCCTAATGTTCAGATCTGTGTCACTATAAAAAATATACATATTTTTAACTTCATGTTTATACTGTGCATGCCAATGAGTGGAGAAATTATTATGTACTGACACCGGACGTAGCTTTTTATCCGAAGGTGAATCACAGCACGCCACATTATTCAGTACATAACGGATACACAACTGCAGGGATGCGGCGTGCTCTGATTTGCCTCCAGACACAAAGCTACGTCCGGACATTGTCCGCACATAATAATTAATCCAATGAGTGATAGCATAAAATAATAACAAACTAAAATATACCATAAATATTTTAATGCTACACAAAATAATAATTAATGAACTAAATCTATTAAAGAATTATTTAATGAAGTGTAAATGATTTGCATTTTGCATACACAAATTAATATTAAAATTAAATTAAAATCAAATCAAATTATTAAAACTTATTTACTAGGAAAACAGAAATCTAACAATTTTTTTATTTTCATTATAATGAAAAATAGCTGTAGAGCAAAAGGAAGTTAAGTTCCAAATACAGAACTGAATTAACTGAATGCGACCCTCAAATGAGAGAATCCGGCCTTCATTTGCAACCTTCCAGCAATCAAAGAAGCCATGTTTTCTGAGTAATCTTGCATGGTGGCGCAGTTCGCTGGGTGCCTCTCAGATTAGTAGAGCTGGGCGATGGTGACAGTCTCTTCTCTCCTCCATGTGAAATCAATCCTTCAATTGAACCCATCACTGTGGCTGTGGTCCTTCCAGCATTCCAGCCCAGTCCCTGTTGCATTACCAAAGTATTAATTAAATGTCTTCTTTTATTAATCTCCAAGCTCTTAGCTGTAGCAGCCAGTGATATAATGGTGCTTCCTTTCGTCCTCTCTCATGGCCGAGAACTTTTTTTCTGCAATCAATAATGATTCTGCTCAATATCTATCAATCTGGAGGAAGAAGACATCAAGTGCCCAGTTTTTCAAATACAGTAAGTGTCAGAGTCATTCATCATGGCAACAGGAGCCAGTGATTTACTTAGTAGATCACTACCTGGAGATGTTTTTGTGCAGTGGTTTTTCATGGATACTTCCTCTTTTAGAGCTGCATCATATTAGATCCGTTTCCTTTTCCTATACAATCTTGCTGAAGCAACTGATCAACCGCAGGAGATCGATAAAGCTACCTGTTAATTTGATTGAAGGAACAGTTGATAATCAAATTGATTTTTTTTTCTTTTTTGCCATAAATTGGACTGAATCAAAATCAGTGAGATGCCTATAATTCACCTGGTAGAACAATAAAGAAATAAATAATTAATTCATAAAGCTTCAGATTGAGCCAGAACTCCTGATGATGACTATCAGGCAATGACGAGTTTAATTGCGCAAGGCTTTGAACTCCTATCAATCAATCTTTGGCTTCGGTTGGGACGACTTTTTTGCTGCTTTTTAAAGCAGCTTTTTAATACAATAATCAGCTTTAAGAACCAAGAAGAAAGTAATCTCTCATATTTGAACTAGGCTCATTAATGTGCCACTTGCTCTTCTCAAGTCTTATTGCTGAAAAAAAGAACATCTATTGTATTATTATGTTAGTTCTATAATTATATACATTAATTAAATCATTAATCTTGAGAAAATTTTAATTAAGAATATTCTTAGGCCAATTTAGTTAACATAGTCTTCATAGCCGTTGAATTTTTACTAAAATTAATGCATGCTATTAATCTCAGCGTATTAAGCCCAAATATATGAACCTCATTACAATATTTTCCATTAATCTCACGGTCAGATCAAATAACTATTCAAATCCTGTGCGGAGTATCCAACATGAAATCGTTAAACAAACCGGAAAGACGTTTAGCCTTTCGGCTACTACATAAAAGGCTTTTCTGGGTCCTATTCCTTATAGTGCCTACAGTATACAAGGTCTATAAATTTGTCTCTTGTCAATCTTTGGTCTCTCTCTCTCTCTCTCTCTCTCCCCCTCCTTATCTCAACTATTAAGCAGCAAAAGAAGAAGAAGAAGAAGAAGAAGATCTAAGTTTAACTATGGGAAAGCTGAAATCTTCCATAAAGTCCATCCAAGAATCGATCACCAGCTTCAAACCGACAGCTCCCAGCTGCATCCAAGAAGCTAAAACTCACTCCTTTAGAGCAGGAGACGACCCCTGCTCCAACTTCAGCTATGTCTACCACACTCCTTCCTCATTTTCTTCTCCTTCTTCCTTAAGCCTCCACAAGCCACAACACATCACCCACCACCAAACAGCCACTCACATGGAAGACTCTCCTTCCTCTTCATCCTTCTCTTCCTCCTCCTCCTCCCTCACAACGCCAATTCCAAAACAAAAGGAACAGACCTGCAGCTTGCTTCCCAATGACCGCATAAACCCAAAAAGATTCTTCTTTTCTCCTCGCAACACCAACTCCATAATGGAGGAAGTGAAGGAAGAAAATGTCAGCAAGGCCGCCACCAGAAACTTCTTCGAGGAGAGTGAGGCCATTGCCATGGTCTCCGATGACCCTTACAGAGATTTTAAGTCTTCAATGGCGGAAATGGTGAAGGCTCATGAGCTCAGAGACTGGCCAAGGCTACAAGAACTATTGCATTGCTACCTTCAGCTTAACGATAGGAAGAATCACAAGATTATAGTGCTTGCGTTTGTTGATTTGCTCATGCATCTCATGACTCATGAGAAGCACTTATTCTCCTTCTCCTCTCCACCTCTGTGTCTTTCTCTTCGTGATTTGGATAAATGAGGAAATAATGTTCTTCCTTCCTTTTTCTCTGGAATTTTTTCTGATTTTGAGGATGATTTTATTCTCTTCTTTTGTTATGAATTAACCTTCCCTTCATTTTTATTTATTTTTTATATGATTCTGGGTGATTAGTTCATATCTTCAGTTGAATTATCGTTACAGAAAGGTTTGACTTGTTGTTACTGCCTGCATTATTGTTCCAGAACTCCTAGAATTCTGGGATGAAAATAAATAGTATAAAATAATTGAGTTAAATTCTGACACAATTATTATGATAATATTTCTTACCTTATTATTATTTTTTAAATTATTTTATGAAGACTCATCTGACAATATTATTATTGTCTCAGTAATTTTTTTAATCCTTTTCTTCATCTTATTCCTACGCCAGAATCATATTGAGCTGAATATTTATTAAGATTTTCATTGGAACAAATTTTTTATTATTTTTAATATATTTTTTAAAAAGTTATTAAAAAATAATAAGAATGAAACCTAAAAATCATTTATCACAACTTACAAAATATTTTGTATTTAAAAAATTTAAAATGAGAAATAATATTACAATACAGTTCTATGAGATATTTTTTTTTGGGACATTTAGGTAATTTAAGGCAAACTCATACACACAACACATACGCATAAACTCGAACCTTGAACCTCTTAGTTGGAAGTCTAAGCTCTCAACCAATAGGCCAAAGAGAGTTGTGTGTTCTATGAGATTTCAGAACAGTTTTTTATTTTAATGCATTGAAGTTTGCGAGGGATGCTTTTTTGGAAGCCTCCATTGGTCTGCGGAAACCAAGGGGACATATGAATTACTACGAATGTCTTCTAACTTTGTATTATTAATATGGGGCTAATGTAGCTGGAAGGAAAATATGTCAGTATAGAATAATATTAAGATGATTCAATTATGAGATTTATTTTGAAAATAGTAAAACATAATTTTTTTAATATATAGTAATACTTTTAATTTATTTTAATACAGTTTGTATCAATATATTTGTTGCGTCCAGGAGTATTCGCGGCGGTAGAGAAATATAAAATTTATCGTCTTAGCGTTGTACGAAAATCCGGCACGCAATCAGATAAGAGAAAGGGTCTAGCATTTATGAGACACCAAGATTTTTACGTGGAAAACCCCTAAAAAGGGGGAAAAACCACGGGGCGTAGCCCAGTTTGAATGAATCAACTAGTATTGCAGTCTATTACAAATGAGGCCCTTCCTTGGTGGAAGGTCTTAGCTTGATGTACATCTTATGGAGTACATTACATGATGTTAATACAAAGAGTCATTGTCGACATGTTCGTTTGGTCGGAAGGACCGTAGTCGGAGGGCTACGGAGGTCGGAAGACTTGTAGTCGGTGGGCGACGTATGTCAGGAGGACCGTAGTCGGTTGGCGACGGAGGTCGGAAGGACTGTAGTCGGCAGGCGACATAAGTCAGGAGGACTGTAGTCG